GATTTCGGCTCCCAAACCCTAGAAATTCAGAAGGCCATGACTGAGACGGCAGAGGATATATGGCAGACAGGCTGAGGGATAGGAATGTCAGGTTTCTACTTCTTAGGAGCATTCAGAAAATATCCCTCCTGCATGTATTGTGTCCATGTTATCACCCCAGGAAAATAAGATTATATTTACACACGTGTTTCTTTTTTTCCTGACCCAGACATTATTTTCTTTTTACTTTTATTTTATTAGTTTCAAGTATACAGTACATTGGTTAATCATTTATACAGTTTATAAAATGATCCCCCTAATTGCTCCTTCTCTCCTCTGGCTCTCCACCTAGCCAATACATTAATGCTAACTGCATTCCCAATGCCATGCTCCCCATCCCCATGACCATCTAACAACTACTAATTTGTACTTCTTTAACCCTTCACCCCATTCTCCCATCCCCGCTGACCCCTCTCCCCTCTGTCCATCACCTAATTGTCCTCTATATTTGTGAGTCTGTTTTTGATTAGTTTGTTCTTTTTGTTCCTTATACACACACAAAGTATCTAAAAATGTTTTCTAAGCAATATCATATTACTTTAAGATTTTCTTTATCTAAATAAAAGGCAGCTCCACTTACCAAATATCATTCCCTGCTGGGACAGCAGATGTTGTGGTCATATTTGGAGTATATGTGCAAAGGGGGCATTTTATCCCTGAGATAAAGGTTTGGGACACCATGATCTCATCTCCTTGATGGAAAGTGTCACCTATAATTGTAGTGACAGTGTTTGCATGGGGGTGGAGACTGTCTCTGAAAAAAAAAAAATTGTGAAATATACAAATTCCTAGAAGCTATTAGTAGTGATTAATTCATGCATTCAGAAAGAAAGAGAAGCAGAAACAGCCAGGAAAAAACAAAGTAAAGTTGTCTGAAAAGCATCGGTGGGAATGACAGACAAGACAAGGACACTAAGGTGTATGAAGTGAAAGAAGGAAGCTTTGCTCAAGACTGGGCTGTTTCTGGCCAACCTGATGATTTTGCCTCCCAAATATGATTCTTTTTAATTTCTGAGGACCCTGCCCAATTGCAACTGGAAGGCAGAGGGAAATAATGAATTAAGTAAAAGTTGTTAAATTGTTAAAAACGAATATAAACTTTTATTCAATGCTTCGATTAATATATGCTAAGCACCTAAAGTACGTCACACATTATTCTTGGTGTATACAATGTATGGGGACAGGGGGAGCTAGCAAAGAACCTGCCTATATTGAAGTTTAGACAGATATTAGACAATAATAAGTTATACAATATACTATATGATGATAGGTACCTTGGTGAGGGGAGTTGGATTTGGGGGCTAAGCAAGGAATAAGAGAGTACAATATTAAATAGGGTAGTAATGGGAAACCTCATAGACAAGTGGATACTTCAGGCAAGACTTGGAAAAGGACAAAAAATTAAGCTAGGTGGCAATTCTGTGCATTCCATCCAAGCACAGGTTATCGGCTAGAGTCATGTCCCAAGAAAAGCCAGGTGCCAATGTCCATGGAACCAGATAGGTGAAATAGAGTTTAAAAGAGGAAGTCAGAAGAAACATGGGCTAAAGATCTGTGAAACTCTTCAGAATCTTTTAAGAATTTTGAACATTCTCTAAGTTAAATGAGGGGCCCTTCCAGGGTTTTGATCAAAGATGAACATTACCTGATTCATACATAGAAAGAGTCATGTTGGCTGGAGAGTTGAGAGTAGACTGCAAAAGGATAAAGATGTTAGATGAACATTTTAGATAGGATAAAGATGTGAGATGCACATTTTAGAAACAGGTAGCAGATGGTGAGTCTAATCAGGCTGAGGGAAAGCATGGTGGTGGAAAGTGGTCAGAGAAAGAAAATGATTATAAAAGTTTAGCCATAATGGATGAGGGAGATAAATGGTAGAACAGAAAACATACAAGGGTAGTTATTTTATGAAGGACACAAACGTTATTGAGGTTATTTGTAAAAAAGATTAAAAGGGACTGAAGATCAGTGATGATTTACCAGTCAAGAAATCTGATAAACCAAAGGGGAAGAAAAAACCTTCAGAAGGTAAGATATGAAGTCATCCTTAGGTGGCATTAATGGAGAGATCAACCCAAAACTGAGGAGAGACATCATTTCCATTTTAACACAAGAGCCCATAAAAGATATTAGATTTAGGAGGCAGAAGGTGTTGAACACTAAGTTTAATACAGGAAAGTAACAGAAGAGGACGAGGGGCTGCTAGAATAGACAACAGCTGGAGGATTAGGGTAAAGTCCTTGACTAGGATTTGGGAAGCTTTGTAATGACAGCTCTTGGAGTAGGTGAGTTGAACATTTACAGATAATTAAGATAATTCAGGCTAGAAGAGAGGTCCTAGATTATCTGGGTATTTCCCAAACTAAGTCATGTGAGGCAGTAAGTAACCAAAATATGAAGTCTTTTTAGCCAGTGGGAGTAGTGAAATGTTACAGCAGTGATTGTTGAGCCCAGGAAGCAAGCTGGTTCTAAAGAATATAGTGTGTTTGTGACCCCAGATGGTGGTGGGTCTGGCCTTCCCCTGTATCTGCAGCCAGTTTATGCTCCATGCTGCAAGTGGCTGCTGGCACATGCAACTGGGCTCAGGGTTTTTGGGGTCGGGTGCAAGTACACTTCCCTGGTGCTTGAAATCTAGTGTTGTGCTGAAAAGAAATTTCCCATTCAAACCATAAATAGGAATTATGTATTACACTACAGCCTATGCCACACCATGGAGATGCTACTGCATCCACCTAAGAATCGAAGTGGGGTTACTGTACAAAGCAAAAATAAGATTTCAAGAAGCCCTTAGCATTCTGGATGTCAGATCAAAGACTGCAGATATGTTTTTTTTAAAAAAGTCCTAGAATTTTTTAAAAACCTTAGAACTGTAGCTCAACTTTGCAATGTGTCTTCCTTAAAACAAACAGAACTGGTGAGGCTCTAAGAGATGGAGACTGAGCAAAGGTTCTCTGGGCTGGTAAAAGTGTAAGTGGACGTCGTGCAATGAGGAAATCACTATCTATGGTCTCGATAACTTTTCCATGCAGAGATCATCCACACTTTACCTCCAAGTTTAATGATAATTACTGATATGAGAATTTTTAAAACGGGTTTTAATATTTTAGTTATCTCACAATAATTTCAGAGCCAGAGAAAGATTAAGCATTTTATATTTTCCTAACTCATTTTAAATAATCAGACTTTAATAATCTCATGTCTCATAATTCAAGTGCTTCTGATTTCATTCACTATAACTGGGAGAAATGACTGTGCTCTACATATTGCACTTCCAAAAACATTGTGGGTTGTCATGACTGTACCCTCCTCAGCATCTTTGGGTCTACAAAACATCCTGGCATTCAGGCCACAGAAGCCTATAGTCTTTCCTGGAAGGCCTTGTGTAGTGTGTAGCTTTTTCTGACACCAAGTATATCATTCCAGCACCAATTCTCCAATACCAACTGGGTGTCCCACAATTCAATTTAATTCTGATATTCTTTGCAATTAGTGCAGACCATACAGGTTAAGAACTCAGTCCCACAAGACCATCACCACTTCATGCCAGCCACAAATGGGGTCCCTCGGCTACCCGCGCTTCTGTCAGGCCAATTACAAATTTGGAGTTCCCATGCTCCTACCCCTCAAGTTTACTAGAATGATTCACAGAACTCAGGAAAATCCAGCATTTACTATTAGTTTATTATAAAAACACAAGCCAACAGCCAGATGAAGAAGCACACAGGGTAAAGTCCAGAGCATCTCAAGTACAGGAGCCTCTATCCTAGTGGAGTCAGGGTGCACCTCCCTTAGGACTGGATGTGTTTACCAACTCAGCTGTTCCCCAAACCCTAGGGTTTTTTGTTTGTTTTTATCAAGGTATTATTAAAAAGTCCTGATTGACTACATCATTGGCCATTGGTGATTACAGTCAATCTCCAGCTCCATCCCAGATGTCAGGAGTGGGGCTTAAAGTTCTAACCTTCTAATCTGGCAGCCAGCACCCTTCCTGAAGTTCTTTACTGACCTGCTCTTTGAGTTATTCCATTATCAAAGATGCTCTCATTACTCAGGAAATATCAAGGGTTTCTGAAGCTCCGTGCCAGGAACTGACAAACACCATATATTTTTTACTTTATCACAAAAGGAATGAAGATTAGGCAAAAATTGTAGTGAGAGCATACTGTTCCCTCTCATGCCTGCACAAAAGCGCTCCACCCCTTCACAGGGGCAGAACCCAACTGTTTTCAGCTTATTGCACAATGAATATCACTAAGATTAAAGGTGACTTAAATAACTAAGATTTATTATTGCACATTCCAGGGGAATGTGAGGCAGTTCCCAGGTTGGTCTTGGAGGCTAGAAAACCCATCAGAAATATCACATAAGACCAACAATGCCATAAAGAAGGGAATACTTTACAAACTACCAGCAGTTCTCAGACTGGGCCCCTAGGGTCCAAAGTGAGGCAAATCCACACCATAACTAGTCAGAGAGAAGTGAATGGGAAACCCCAGGGGCTCGGTCCAATTTCCTCTAGAGAATGGGAGCGGGCACAAACATCTGTCTCCTCTGAGCATGTTGTGGTGACTGATACAAGCCACAAAGATCTACCAGGTAGTAGATGGAAAATGACTTCCACCTCAGAACCTGGCATAATTCTAACAAGGGTCCTGAGCAGGTGAGAATATGAAATGCAGCCCCCACAAACTTCTCACATATCTGGAACTCATGGCAGATGGCTTCTCATAGAGACTCTCTAATCCTGTCACAATGAACAGAGACAGCACATTTCTTAAGATTTAAAGCCATTAATTACCTTATGTGGAATTTCCATACTGAATAAGCTTAGATTTTTGCTGAAGCCTTTTCCATATTTGCTAAAGCCATAAAACTTAGCTGGACTGTGAACTTTTGGGTGTTGATTCAGAGCAGAATGTTAACCAAAGGCTTTCTCATGTTGGCTGTTCTCTCAAAGTCTTTCTCTAGTGTGGAGTTTATGGTGTTGAATGAAGCTGTAGTTTTGGCTAAAGGATTTTCCACATTCACTGCATTCATAAGGCCTTTCTCCAGTGTGAACTCTCCGATGTAGGATGAGGCTGAAGCTCTGGCTAAAGGACTTCCCACATTCGGTGCACTCATAAGGCCTTGCTCTTGTGTGAATTTTCTGGTGCTGAATGAGGCTGGACCTTTGTCTAAAGGATTTGCCACATTCACCACATTCAAATGGCCTTTCTCCAGTGTGAATTCTCCGATGCTGAATGAGGATAGAGCTCTGGCTAAAAGATTTCCCACATTCACCACACTCATAAGGCCTTGCTCCAGTGTGAATTCTCTGGTGTTGAACGAGGCTGGAGCTTTGTCTAAAGAATTTCCCACATTCGGCACACTTGTAAGGCTTTGCCCCGGTGTGGATTCTCTGGTGCCGAGAAAGTTTAGATTTGCATCCAAAAGCTTTCCCACATTCACTGCACTCATAAGGTCTTTCTCCAGTGTGAACACGTTGGTGCTGAACAAGTTTATATTTGAACCTGAAGGCCTTCCCACATTCACTGCACTCAAAAGGCTTTTCTCCAGTGTGGATTGTCTTGTGCTGAACAAATGTGTGCTTGTAGCCGAAGCTTTTCCCACATTCACTGCACTCATATAGTCCTTCTCCAGTGTGAATTCTCCGGTGCTGAGTAAGTGTACGTTTGTGGCGAAAAGCTTTCCCACAGTGATCACATTTGTAAAGACTTTTTCCATGGTGAAAGGCCTCTGTACACTCAGCACTGCTGAGTACACTCAGTGCCATTTTGGGAGTGGCCTGGAGAAGACCCACACTGGCCAAGACATCCTTTCCAACCTCCCTGCAGGTGAAAGGCTTCCACAACGAATGACTTTCATAGCTCTTCATAAAGGAGGCCTTGTCCACATCCTCGCTGTCAAGTTTCTTCATACTGTGCTCCTTCTGGTGTAGGTGAAGACGTGCATAAAAACAGAACTGTTTTGCAGATGCCACACGAGTGTTCGATTTCTGCCCAGTATTCATTCCTTGATACTTGGTCAGGTACAAAATACCTTCCCTGATGGGAACACACATCTCACAGTGATGAGCCTTCTGGATTGATGGATCTGGCTTTGGAGTCCTCATTTGTGGCATTCTCTCCAGAGAAACACTCTGTCCAGAAGGTGCCTTCTCATTCTCTATACCACATAAACAACCTGAAAACAGAAATGCTAGTGAAGTACATGTTGTCTTTGGGGACAGGTGGGAGTCACATCACAAATATGTATCTGACACACCAAAGAATAAATACATGTGGTTGTTTTCAGGACGAGGGATTTGGGGTCAGAATGAGGAAGGAGCTGCTTTAGAGTACTGGATTCTAAAAGGACATAGACACAGAGTGGCCTTATAAGACGAAAGATGAAAGGATTGGATGCAGCGCGATGGAGGGGTAGCAGTTTCTAAACTATACCTCTGAGAATGACCTTGGCTGCTGCTGACATGTGAGTGTTGCACAGAAGTTTTTGCCCAGGAACAAAAAAATCTGACTATAAATGGGTAGCTGGTGTTCAAGGGCTATAAAGGATATATGCACACCAGTTAGAAATGTGACCCAGTGTTGGAGAACACCGCAAAGGCAGCAGTGAAGAGGAATGGGTTAATAGGTGGAGGCAGGAAAGCTGGAGCAGCCAGGGGTTAAAAGTCAGTAAAAATGTCAGGCTGGCCAAGAATGAAGAATGGGGAAGAAAAAAGTAGAAATGAATATGGCCACCGGCAATGGAACCAAAACACTAGCTTGAAAGGTTCCTTGTATCATGTAAACATAGCCCTGAGGTCATGTCCTCTCTCAGCTGCCGCTCAGCAGAGCCAGGCCCCCTGTAGCCCATCCTGCCATGGCGGAAGTGATATCCACTCTGTGAGGCACTCAGGACTCTCTCCTCCAGCAAGAGGTGAGCAACTACATGGGACTTGGATAATGCAAGTCCTAAGGGAAAGGCAGGAGAGGTCAGTGGCCAATACCAGCCCAGAGCAACTTATCACATAACGGACTACAAAAAGAAAACTAAATGTTATTAAAAGAAACTCGGATGAAGATCTCACAACAGCTAATGGTGCAAGGAAGTAGTGCCCACACTGGTGATGGCAATTCTGGACAAATGCAGACATGGAGAACTGTCAGTTAGGAGAAGGGAGCAAAACCTGGGGTACGTAGGTACTGGATTTGGAAAGTCCCCCAGCCAGGGAGAGGATAAGCAAGGTGGGATCCATTTAGATGACTGTAAGACTACTTACCCAGAATCCTCCTCTACCAGGCTTTGGGGCAGCAGCATTTGGGCTGCAAGGGCAAAAAGAGGGCAGTGCAGACAACCCTAGCAAGGAAAGCACCTACCCAGGGAACTGAGAAAGGAGACAGTGTCCATGGTCAGGACATAAAAAGGACAGAGCAACACCTAGGAAAAAGTGGAAAGGCAAAATCTAGTCCAGCTCACAGGGGAGCATGAAGGTCTTACCCAGAGAGGATATAAGTACAAAGTTCTCCAGCATCACATCGTGGTACAGGCGTCTCTGTTGCTCTTCAAGGAGGAGCCATTCCTCCTGGGAGAAGTACAAAGCCACGTCCTCAAAAGTCACATTGCCCTGTCATGATGGAGACAGATGAAACCAAGGCCTTTCTCCTGAGGACCCACAATCCATTCCCCACAGACCTACCCTACACCATTCCTTCCTCCACATTCCCCACCTTAGAGGAAATACCAGGACTTGATGTGATTGATGCTGCTCTTTCCTCATGGTTCCATTCCTGTGCTCGGCCCTCAGCAACTACAGGTAAGCAGGCAAATAGACACCATCTAAGGTCAGGAAGTAGGCTGCAGGGTCCCATGCCTTCCACTAGGCAATTTCCTTTAGGTTCTTATGCTTCATAACACAATAAAATTTGGAGTCACCTATCACCCTTAATTCTCCAGTATCAAGACTTAGGGGCTATCAATTCATACTCCCTCTCTCTACATGCACCTCTCTCATATCTTCAGACCCCACAGCCACCACCACCTCCCTGCCTCACACCATGGCCATCTCCCTAGACTCAGCCAATGTTTCCGAGTATATGGCATCTAGAGAGGGCCTGGCAAATTCAAACAGGACCCAGTACTACCCAAGCCCTCCAATGGATCCCAACACCAGGGGTAGCCCTGGATGCTGCTTTGAAGGCCTCTCCCATGTCTCTAACTCTTTGCTTCAACATTAGTGACACAGAACTAGATGTGAATTTCAGATACCCATGGCCCTCTTCCATTTCTATGCTGCACTTGTCCCCTCAGTACCACAACCCTCCTCTCCACCGAACCCTTGTTAAAAGCCCAGACACACTGATACCATACCAAGCGTAGTGATTCTCACAAATGACCACAATTGCTGTGACCTGATCCACCAACAAGACTGCAACAGCCCACATTCCACCAGAGCTCACCACAAAATTTTAGTAAACCCATCTTATTTCAGTCAGTCTTATGCCTCTGCATTGGTTTCATGCTTACTCTTCCTTGTTCCTGGGATAACCTTCTATACCATTTCGATTGGTGGCCAGAATAGAAATCCCTCAATACGACCTTCAGCTAGGACTCGGAAGGAGTCCAGGGGATTTCTCCCAGGTCCCCAAAACCAATAGCTGGGAGAAAGGCAGGCAAAGGCCCCAGGACACCACAACCCCAAAGTTCACATGGGTGGGGTTGGAATCAGTGGGGGCCTGGAACACCCTCCACTTCCATGTGTAGGTTCCATAAGTGCTTCTTCAGCTTTAGGTACAACATGCAATAGAAGCTGGGGACCATGATGTGTTTCAATGGGCTAACACCTCCTCTGGCCTTCTGCCCAGCCCTGAGGGACAACTGACTTTGGGCTGAATGACTAAACTCCGTGCTTCAGTGTGCAGTGCTGCCCCTCACCAGCTCTGTGATCTCTGACGAGGACTCAACCTCCCTGTGCCTCACTGTCCTCATCACTCCCACTCCAATCCGTTCCCACTCTGCGTAGCTCTTGGGAAACTTTCAAAACCCTAAATCAGACCGTGTTCCTCTTCTCTTCTTGATTATACACCGCTCCCAGGGTCCTCAGCAGGGAGGCACACCACCCTTCCAACAGCCCCCCCCCGCCCCGCCCATCTCCCGTCTTCAGCCTGACAGCCCAGACGTGACTCTGCCGAACACTGTTCCATGCAGATACAAGAAAGATCCAAGGTTCCCGAGTCCATCCAAGTTACTCGCCCCTCCACGTGTTTATACCGCGGGCCCCTCTGCTTGTGACTCTCCCACACCCCATCACCCTTGACGTCACCCACAAGCACCTCATCGTCCCGGACGCCTGGGCCTGGGCTGCAGGACGGGAGCAGCGCCCTCACGCGGGGCTTTAGGGTTCGGGGAGCTGAGGGCGGTGAGGTCCGGGGACGCGCACTCACCTGAGCCCGGCACCTTGGCGCAACTGCCGCCATCGGACTGTGTGGCGGGGCAGGGGAGGGGGCGCCGGACATCGCGGTCCGAGTCCTGGCCCTGGTCCCAGCCCTGGTCACCCAGGAGGCGCCGCTGAGCCTCAAACAGATGACTGCCCCCTTCGCGCCTTCCCGATCCAGCACCTCGATCCGACCCAACGCTCAGGAGACTGAACAGACTCTACAGAAGCCAAAATGGCCGCCCTAAGGCAGAGGTCGGAAGCCCCGCCCCAACAGGATGCGCGCTCACTGTGTCTCGGCGCAGAGGCCTCTAGGTAATGCAGTTCTCAGCGATCTAGAAGACAAGGCAGCAGGTGTCCCCCACCAGGACCCATCCTAAAGGCCCAGAGGCACCGCCAAGGAGTCTAATAAGATTGTGGAGAACTTTGCTACTTCTTAAAGGGGCTTCACGGCATATTTCTGGAGAGTGTTGTCTGCAAGTGATCACCAAAACATTATTTCAGACCCCACGAAATTCAGCAGTCTCCCAGAGGCTACCGATACAAATGGACCTGCCATCCATAGTCATCCAGCTGGAGATGAACATGTAAACATCATCTGACTGTTATTCACATGCATGTAATCTGAATCACTAGAGTCAGTTTTGTGAGTTTCTCTATGTTGGGTCAAGAACAAGAGAAAAGATTCTGGACAGAGCCATGACAAGAAGGTAAAAGAAGGACGTTGGGCCATGCTGAAGCAGGTGGATAGGGTGAATGAAGTTCTTCTTCTAGTTTCCATTGAATATGTCTCTCCTGCCTGTATATTCAGTGATGTGTCCTACCAACTGAGAAACCGTTTTATCCATACAACATTTTTTCCTCCATATTCTAATATATATATTTAATTCCTTTCAGGAATCTGACATGTATTGCAAATGAAGAGCAACTAAATGCTGATTAGGTATGGGACAGAGGCTGCAGTGTTCATAGTCATGGCACATGTGCAAAGGAGGCATCTGAACGTATGATGGCATCACCTTGCAGGGAAATGATGGTCATTTCTCCTATTTTTGAAGGCGTAGCATTGTGTGGGAGGATTTGGATTGTCTGAGAAAGACAGTTGTGAAATGGAAATTGCAGAAAGTTTTAAATAAAGTGTATATATTTCTTTCAAGATAGTGGTGGAAAGCTCTGGGGAAACATCAGTGAAAAGAGAAAAAAATTGAAAGATCTCAGTAAAATTTGAGAATTTGCTTGCCTGAGAAAAGCTAGAATCCAATTGAACATGTGACTATGCTTGAACCTTGGTCACTCTGAGGATATTTATTGTCTCCAAAACGTGATTCTTTTTCATTCAAGAGCACAATGAGCATACTAGCTTGGAGAAAGAGTTAAAGAGGACATTTAGAGTAGCTGGAAGGGTAAATATAAAGAGGAAATCTGAGGTGTCATGTTTATTTGCTGCTCTACAAATTTTTTTGATCACATAAAAAACTATACAGAACATTTCTCACAAGAGTTAATGCAAATAATAAGCAATGCAAAAAATAAGTTAAAATAATTTAATCAAATGAGAGTATTTAAAAATATACAATTTATGTAAGATGAAAGACACCAAAGAATTAAAATATAAAAAGGTGAATTGACTCCATGAAAGTTCTGTGAATCCCTGTGAAACCGAAATGAACAAGTCCATTAGGACAGCAGTCATTCGTGGACAAATAAAGTCCCATCTCATTTCTTTGATCAAAGTAGTTACCATGGAGGATTAAGGACTAAGTTAGGTATACTTTTCTTTTCAAGGACAGTAATAGGAAAATCCCCACCCCACGGTTTTTCTGGCTGGGATTTAAGCAGTTCAAGCACTCGAAATGATCACTGATCGAAAGCTCTCTAAGAAGATGCGATAACTTTAGAAATTTCAGCAAATTCAATAGATCCAAAGCAGGTGCTAATTTCAGGATCTAACAAAGCACTTTTCCATCTGGTTATGGACCACATTTAGACAGTAACCTATTTACAATTCCTG